TTTTTTTTTTTTTTTTTTTTTTTTTTTTTTTTTTTTTTTTTTTTTTTTTTGTTTTTTTTTTTTTGTGTGTGTGTGTGTGTGTTTCATGCCCTAAAGCTACAATCTGTGAAAGACCAGACAGACCAGTCCCTCCAGGGCTGTTTTGGCTTGGTGAATTGGCTCAGGGTTATTTTGTGTTATAGTAACTGTGTATTTCCTCCCTTTACACATGTCTGTTTTTTTTTTTTTTCTAAACAGAAATTCTCCAAATATGAAAAGCTTAAATGTAAATCCAGTGTCTTTCAGATGCCTGCCTTGCACATAACTGTTAATCCATTTCCTTACATCTTTTCCCTACATTCAGACTTCAGCTGTTTGCTTCCTCTTTGCAGGCTGCCATCCTTTTAGAGCTTTCTGCATGAGGTTTGCTTTCTCCTTTAGACCTCAGCCATCAGGCTTATGTCTCAAAGGCTCAGGTCAGGACCGTCTGATACAAAGCCTTTGGATGAGGTAAGTTCCCTCTTGGACACTCTGTGATCATTTCCTGGAAAAGGCATTTGTTTGCCTGGCCTGTGTCTGCTGTATGGGCTGCAGCTCCTTATCAGCCTTCTCTTCTCTCTGGCCTCAGGCTCCTGTCTTTTCCTCTTCTCTGGTTTACCTCTGTGCCTTCCCAGACCACGGACTTTCTATTCTCCTACTCTAGTATTGCCCCACTGCTGCTTGGATCGGACTGGGCTCCCAAGTCCAGACTGTCTGAAATTGGTGATGGAAGTTGCTGTATGAACACCAGGTGACTTATAAAGTTAGACAGTCAAAAATGCAGGCAATTATAATGTATATGTTCTTTGGGGAAATGACTTGAGTGGGGTTTTAAGGGAGGATGTGTTTAGCTGGTGCTTCAAAGACAAGTACCATATTTAAGCCTATTACAAAGATTATCAGCATTCCCCACAAATGGTAAGATACACAGATCAGACCTGTGGATTAAATACCATCTGTTTTGTAAATTGTTACATTTAAATTTAAACAAAAATGAATAGTGTATGTGGAGGTGAGGAGGAGGAGGAGGAGGAGAAAAAATGTATGGGCCAAGGGAGAGTAAGTTATTTTAAAAACCCTCAAATACACATGAGAGAAGACACAGCAGAAGAATAGGAGACTGTGGACTGCATAGGGCAGTGCTGTTGTACTGACAAAAATAAGTAGAAAGAATAAGGATCTTCTCATTTTCTAAGACAATAAGTCACCATGTAAAATGGTATAATGGCTCTTTTTTTTTTTTCTGTCTCCCTCCCTGCAAATACAGCCTGGAAGCACAGAAGAATGAGATTACCACATCTCATACATCACAATTTCTAATAGAAGTTACAATGCTGTTACCACATACAGTCGTGACATTTATCTCGCTACAACTTTCTTAAGGACATTGTAGAGCAAAACTCCCAAGTTTCCTAAAATTAGACACATTTCGTGTCTGTTTGCTGTCTTTGGTAGACTTAAAATTCAACCCTGTTCATATTTTATGTGATTTTGTAATAACACCCACTCATTCATTGCAGAAGAGACATTCTGTTGTCCTCCTATGACACTTTGGGATTGCAGCTGGAAGATGTGTCATTGGGACTTCCCTTTGTTTTCTCACTATGAACTAGACACTTGTGGCAGATGCTGGATTGGCAGCCTCACAGAAACAGATACTCCAGGCCACCAGCTTGCACAAGTGGTGACAGTTCAAGTGTCTGGCTTCTGTATGGCACCTGTCACTTTGCTGCTCGACCACACAGGTTAATCAGCAGCTGTCAAATGGCACTGTTCAAGCACTCCTGGGCTGGGGTGGTAGCTCACCTTGTCCATGCTGTGGGAGCACAGCCAAAGCTGAGAGAAGATTTCAGTTCTTTATTTCAGTCTTTTTTTTTTTCCCCTTTTAGGGAAGGAGAGACAGTTGCACTCATTATTGCAGGTCTGTGCCCTCTAGCTGCCCCTTTAGGGATGCCCTTCTGACAGTCTGAAATTGTCCTTCCTGAAAAAGAGAAACAGGATGAGAGAGGGACTGTGATAACCCATTGATAACCCCAGTCTGATGAGGAGCAGCTGAGGGAGCTGGGGGGGCTTAGCCTGGAGAGAAGGAGGCTCGGGGGGAACCTTCTCGCTCTCTATAACCTGAAAGGAGGTTGTAACCAGGTGGGGGTCAGTCTCTTCTCCCAAATAATCAGGGACAGGACAAGAAGAAATGGCCTCAAGTTGCACAGGGGAAGTTTAGATTGGCTATTAGGAACAATTTCTTCACAGAAAGGGTTGCCAAGCATTAGAACAGGCTGCCCAGGGAAGTAGTTGTGTCACCGTCCCTGGGGATACTTAAAAGTATCCGAGGGACATGGTTTAGTGGTGGACTTGGCAGTGCTGGGTTAACGGTTGGACTCGATGACCTCAGAGGTCTTTTCCAACCTAAACAGTTCCATTACTTTCATTTATGATTGCAGACAGCAGAGCTGCTCATGTCACTGTGATCTTTACAGTGACTGCTGTCACCAGGACTCACATTTGGCACTGCTAAGCCTGCTCTGGCACCTGTGTGATGTATTGCTGTCACTCCTGAGTGTTTGGGTGTCAAAGGCAAAAGGGTAATAGTGAAGTCCATGCTGTACCATCGTATCAGCCTATAAATGAACACAGGTGCCCGTATCCTCTGAGTCCTGCGGACTTGTGCACAGCATCTTGATTCTGTGCACAGGACTTCTGAAATATAAACACACAGGTATGTACATATGGCACACGCATTATATATGTGTGTGTGTGTGCATACTTGAACTTAGGAAATAATGTAATCAAGTCCTTTTTCCTGCTAGCAAAATCACATAATAATAATCACATAATAATAATAGTAATCACATAATAATAATAATAATAATAATCCATTACATAAAAGGATCAAGCTTCATCCTGAGAACTGTTAGTGTTGTTTCTCTCCAAACTCCTGTGTGAACATTGTTCCAGAATATCATGGCAGTGCTCTGCAGTAATATCTCCTTTCTAATTTCCAGTCTAAGCACATCCACCACCATATTGTGTCCCTTGATTCTGAGCAGTGCTGTTTGTAAGCTTCAGTCATTTCCTTTCCCTCAGATCTGCCCATGGATGTATCTACAGAGAGAGAATACCTCCCTTCTCAGACTTTGTTTTGTGAGACTAAACGTCTTTTAGATTGCTCACACCCCAGTATGGTTCCAAGAGACTTATCTGTACCTTGTCCAACCTAGGTTGAACTCAATGATATCAGAGGTCTTTTCCAACCTAATTGATTCTGTGATTCTATTCCAAGCTGAGTTTACTTTTCTTGAGCGGCTTTGGGTTCATTTTTCAAGCGTAGGTCTTACTACTTAAATGACAACATCAGCATTTCCTTATGTAATGGAAACACCTCTCCTGATAAGCTGAATAATCATATTTGTAATTTTTGTGGCTGCATCTTGTTAATGAATACAGCCAATTACTACTCTGATTTCTCTCCTCAAGACATATCAATAGTTTCAAACAAGCAACTTCTCACCACTGGCTTAAATCCAGGAGCAGTGCAGGAGCTTGCCCTTTGAACTGTCATCCTTCACACAAAAAGGCTTAAAAATAGTAAGAGTATAGTTGGATTAGGCCAGTATTTTATTAGTTTCTTCCCACTTCAAGACTTCCTCTTTAAGCAGCCATGTCTAGGGCTTGCTCACTTTTGGGTATATGAAGCAATCTCCAGAAACATGAACTAAATCTAACTCTGGATTGTCCAAACTGCAGTGTTGATTTTATTAGCATGGAAAACATTTCAACAGCAGAATGTAAAGGCAAAAATAACACATAGATGCTGCAAGAGGAATTTGTATGATGACCTTTGCTTTGTCAAACTTTAATCATCGAAATCTAAGCTAGTTGTGTGGTTTTCCTCTACAACCACCAGAAGGATGCTAGCGGCTCCCCAGGGTTTTTATCACTCAGGCATATATTTTAGGATCTGTTTCCCATCAGTGCCTGCTTCTTCCTTTCTACAGGTTGTCAAGTGAATCTGTATCAGCAGAGCAGCTGAAGCATGCAGGTAAAATCAAGTGAAATGAACCTCTCTTCACTGTTTATCTTAAAATTCAAAAGAATACTCCAGACAACGACACTTGGATTTTTTATGCATTGAGAAGAAAACGGATCACAGAGCAGCCACCTGGGATGTCAGGGAACTGTTCTGGAAGAACTGAGCTCCCTAAGTCTGGTCTTTATTGCCATGTCATGAGGCAAATATAAACACTGAAAGAAAAACATGAGATGTTTAACACATTTTTATTTTACATAAACAAGTGTTTTTTAGAATGTTCTTTGCATGAATTGCCATAATTACAAATTAAAACAAGAATAAGTTTCTGAATTCTGATTTCCCACCACAGAGCTCTGATTCTATGGTGGGTAAAATGGTGAGACAGGAAATTTCCTCTATGTTTCCATCTGCTCATATATCAGACTGATTCTGTCTTCTAGGAGCTCACTCTGAAAAAAATATGGTCTTTTTGCAGACCGGAGATTTTAAACAAAACTATTGTTCTCCCTCTTGTTTGTGACAAAAGGTAATGAAGAGAGATTAGGATTTCATGAGTGCAGCAGGAGCTCTGGAATAATTATTAACAGGAATTTCTAAAAAGGAAAGAATTGTGATGTGAAGGGCCAAGTCATAAGGATTAATTAAATAGAAGAAGGGATGCTGACTTTCAAGTAGTCTGGCCTGGAAATAACACAGATGGAGAAGTGAAAAAGAATAGAAAACATCATGTCTGCAAAATGTTCTCTGAGTGGGTGTTTTTGGGAGAGGGCCACCTAAAGGATTCAACTTTTGCTAGGAAGAGTATGCGTTATCCATGCCCAGATTTGTGATTAATCAATTCACAGATCAACTGATGAGTTGGTTAAATGTCCTTTCCTTAGAGTAACACCCAGGTTTGCAAGTATCTTTGATAATACACTTTTGGCAACTCAGGATGTTGCTGGAGCACATTCTCCTTCTCTGTCACACAGTCCCCTCTGCACTTCCTGGTGGGCGAATGGAAACCCAAACAACACAACAAAATATTCCATATTTAATTTCGTTGTAGTGTTTTCCTCTGCACACAAAAAGCTTACACTTCTTTGCACCTTTACTGGGGAAAGTAGCAATAATCTCAGTTCACTGTCGTATTTAAAATGGAAACTGAAAAACAATTTACTTATCAGGACACAAATCCAACCTTCTGTTTGCCTCTCTAACTTTATTGTCTCTGAAAGCAGAACAAGAGCTGCTTTTCCTCCTTCACGTTGAGACATTGGTACCTGTTAAAGTGGAAATACACAGTCAAAATTTCCACTTGTAGCCAGTGAGTGAAACAGAAAACTCATATTCTGCTAGTTTTGTGGGAATACGCTGTGGTAAAATGAATAATCATCAATTATTTAACTTCTTAGGAGGGAAAATATAAAGCCATCAGGTACTTCTGAAGTGCTCAGTCTGTGTTAGGCTGACCTTGGTGTCTCTCTAGAAAACCTGGTGTGTATTCTTGGCAGCAGGCATCAGTTCCCCGAGGGAGAGGATATACAAGCCTGCAGGAATGTAGATAAACATCTAAGATTCTACTCTGCATAAGAACAACAACAAAATAATCAGTGAAAGCCTCCAAAGAGCTGCTAAGGGGCCCTTCTTCACAGTCGAGTACCTTATTAAAAGGAAAGCAAACTCTTCTAATTGAAAATACTTCATAATAATTATATCCCATCACAATTCTGACTTTTTCAACAGCAAAAAAAAAAATACTCGATGGGGTTTAGTTTTTCTGGGGACAGGGAGGGAGAAATGCGTGTCTTTTCTAGCACTAATTATTTTGTCAGTCATTATTAACATGATAGCTTTCAGAACCAAAAATGCAGGAAACCATTACTTTGTAAAATTTAGCAGTTTGCTGGAAATCTTATACATCTCACAGAAGCATGTACTGACTCTAGCAATACATAGAGTTCAGTCAATATAACTGAAAGTGAGGGGGTGTGATTGTCAGGGGAAATACTATTTATTATAGAATTTTCTAAACAATTGGTCAACTCTGGCAATTCCACAGACATACAGACTGCCCCTTGGGAATGCTATTTATGAACTCAAAAGCGGCTGAACAGCACTCACAAAAAGGCTGCCAGTTTCAAGAAAATTAATGACAATCTTACATTGTCAGAAAATGAAGAGAGAAGAGGCTTTGTGCTGAGTTTAAGGCATGAAGTGTGTTTGCACTCCTTTGTCTTGGCCTCTGTCGAAGCCTGGGGTATTGATGAGAACACACTGCTCATGGCAGTGTCAGCTCAGACAAATCAATACAGGAAAATGTAAACATACAGGTAACTTCACATCCCTTTTTCTAAAAGGCTCCCAAGAGCCTTACTAGAGAGAATACTGTGCCTTCAGGTCTTGGAGCCTTCAAGGTGTGGCTTTGCTGTACTTCCATAAAAAAAACCAACCCACAACAAACCCACAAAAAAACATCCAAGACAATCATACTCAAAACAGCTCCCTGAGTGCAAGAAGTATGTACAGAGTTTCCGCACCTAATCCATCTTTTTGGTAATAGACTAATTTTATTTGTAATTTTAAACATTCCAGTTGAACACAGTTTAATTGCAGGTCCACACTGCTCTAAAGACTACCAATTCCCTGTTTTAAAAGTTTCCTGATGGATTTAGAAGCTGAACTTACTGAGGAAAACCATCAGATGAACACTAGAACTAGCACAGGAGCGAGAGAGCCAGAAAGAGATGTTCAGTGTCAAAGAGTGACACGTTCCAGTTGGTGTGTCAGCGGCTCAGCTGCTGTTGGCACCACACTTACAGCACAGAGGGCCTGTAGGGGTATCACAAACGCTCCTTTGAACACAAAAACACTTCCAGTTGATGCCATCCTCTTACCTGTGGCACAGAAAAGCACCCTAATATATAACTTGTGTGCCTTTACGTGATACAGGTATTTATGATGATGTGTCA